GAGTGAAAAGAAAAAAAAAAACCAAACCAAAAAGAAATGGAAAAGTATCTGGAATGGGGGGAAACGGCACTAAAATGAAACGAGAACCAAGCAGGAAATATATAAATTAAAATAAAAGGGAAAAAACCCAAAGAGATGATGAAATAAAACATGCGGTGGGAGAGACGATGGGCGATGTGGCACAGCCCTGCCTCGGGGACCAGGAGCCTTTGGCTGCACGACGAGAGCTGGGGACCCTTCTGCAGAGCCGTGAGCGCCCAGCTTGGGCTGAGAACCTGTCCTGCACCTTCCCACCCCAACCGTCCCTCGCAGGCAGCAGGGTTCTTCCTGCAGACACCACGATGGCCTCCAGAGACCACAGTAACCACCAAGCCCCTGACCCCCAACCTTCCTCCTCCTCCTCCGTACGCCTCCGTCAGCTCCTCATCTCACCAGGATGGGTTTGGAGGCCAGCAGCTTCTAAAGGAGAGGAAAGAGGAAGGCTTCACGCGCGAACCCCACCTTGGCTCCGCTGGCCGGAGTTGCGGGAGAGGATGGCATGGAGGCGCAGCTGTGGTTGCTCTGGCTGGCACTGGAACTGGATCGCGTTGGGGAGGCTGCCCGGGAGGATGGTTTTGATCTTCGGCCTCGCGATCGGAACGGTGTCATTCCCTGGGAGGCTCCCTCCGGCAAGATGAATTTCTCTCTGAGTTCAAGGTTGGTCCGTCCTCGTGCTGCAAAGGGGACAAAGGAGAGGAGACCTGAGGTTCGCGTGAACCCAACATCGTTACCGGGGCTCAGGAGGCCCCAGGGGTCGGAGCGTATGTCCTTGCCAGGTCTGCCAAAGCCCATCTCACAGTGAGACCGGCCTGGCTCTCTTGCTCTGCCCTAAGCACCTCCTGCCATGGATCAGCTCTTGGAGAAACTGCCTTGAGGCCCACGAATTCAAACTGGATGCCCGATTATTCTTGGGGAAAGCAATCCCGATGGCCATGAAACACACGGTGTTACAACAGCGGCCAATGTCATCTTTGACATAGCTTAAAAATCATAAGAGCAGCTCTGAAAGGCTGGGATTCTGCTCTCACAGCTCTGGGCAGCTCTTCACCAACTTCTGGGGAGAGGAGAGAGAGAGAGAAGTGACCATCAGCCGCTAAAAACCAACTGTAAAATTTTCATCCAAATGCCCCAAAGAGCTGGAGGGTCTCCCTTAGACATGCAAGGGGCAACCATGAGAGGGGCAACCAGCCACGCGAGGGGCAGCTCTGTGGCCTGCAGCTCCTGGGCCGGCTGATGCACGCCAACATGTTTCATCCTCAGGGCATCCAAACAGAGAGCAAGGGCGTGCACCGAGCCCTGCGGGACACGGGAGGGATTTTAGAGTCGACACATTTACGGACCAGAAAGCCAAGGAAGCAATTGCAGAAGGGAAGCACCACGCTGAGATAACCAAGGGATGGAAATAACCTCGATGTCAGCGCTGTAAAACAGCTGCTGCAAAGCATGAACGGGGGAGGCTGGAGGAGCAGGAAAGCCCTGAAGGTTCCCCGAAGCAAGCGGCGCACGCTGTAAATCACGCTGCTTTCAGCAACAGCCGTGAGACAGCAGGAGCAAGGAATGGGTAGGCAGCAGCTTGAAGAAGACATAGCCAAAGCAATTAACATCTCGGAGACCCCAGTGAGACAGGGACATATGGAATACAGACCTAAGCTCTCCAAAATATGCAGTGGGATGTGCATTAAATGCTCCTTTCCTGCTGGAGCAATGGATTCTGGCCCCCTCTCATGGGTGCCTGCTCTCTCCCTTGCCAGAGCAGAGCTGCTCATCCCACCGATCCCCCGCAAACCGCACTGGGGGATGCTCCTACCAGGGCTCCCGCCTGCGCGAAGCGGAGATTGGCATTCCCGATGGGAGAACACGTCAGATTCCTGCTTTCCTGCACCTTGATGCACTTCATTCCTGGCCACTCCCCTTGCTAACCCTTCGCTGTCCCCTGGTCACGGCTCTCAGCTGGCCGCAGCGGAGCAGCGCTTCCATCCCAAAAGCTCTCACCACGATAAAACCTCGAGACTGAAGGTTTTGGGAAAGGAGGTGATCCCGGTTCTCCGTGCCCACGGTACGTGACCCTGGTCTGTGTTATCCCAACCATACCTGCCAAATGTGTCCCATCAAACCAGCTCCAGCAAACACTGCTCAGCCCTAACCCCCCTAGCTCTGGGTTCTTCTTCCCTTCTAAGGTGCTGCCGTGTTTTCCGTAAGCTCAGTTTGCCTAGGAGCTTCTTGCACTTGAATTTTACTGCATTAATGCTGAACTGAAACATCTCATTTCACCGCCGGGCTGGTCAATCCTTGGGACATGCTTGTGCGAGGTGATGCTTATCGACACACTCACAGCCCGATGGGGTGCTCAAAATCCCCCTCCCCCCGAGAAATCCAACCCAGCCCTGAAAAGCTCCATGGACACCGATATCTAAATGCAGCCCTTCTACAGCTCAAATCCGGCATGTGGCGATCCAGAAAACAAGAAGGGCTGGGGGAAGAAAGGTAATTTTAAGGAACTAGAAGACGACCTGGCACTGGCGGCGGCTCCCGCTGCAAACAGGTATTTAAGTTGCAGGGTCCTGCACAGCTCAGGGTTTCCAAATTAGTTCCTTATGCTGCTGGTCTAAAGACAACAAATGAACTCAGAAAACATTTTTACCATCTCCTGGCTTCGAACCTTTTGAATTCTTTCAGGTCACCTTTAGGAAGCTCACTCTGCTTCCCCCAGAGCCCCATGGATGCGCCGACCGCTGCAAAGGGAAGCTGAGACCCCCAGCACGGCAACGCAGCTCTGCTCGCTGGGGTCTTAAAAACAAGAACCACCCCCCTTCCCTCTTCTCCTCCCGAGACACCTGGCTGAACGCTGCGAGATTTGCTGTGGCGCTGCCAAATCTTGTGATTTGAAGTTCTGTGGTTTGCTTTGGATCCGTTTTCTCCAGCTCCTGCCTGTTATTTGGATAACCCAGACCCGCTTCTCCGGTACCTCTGGCCATTCACGGTCAGACAACTTCCCAAACACCCCTTACTGGGTGAGAAGGCCCCAGTTGGAAAACACCCCGGAATGGCCTTACCTCTGCAAGGATCATTCTTCACTAAAAATTCATCCAGGGCCATCCATCCTCCGCCGACACGAACCATGACCGTGCTCCGCAGGATACGGACCAGCCGCAGCTGCTGGGAATCGCCGAACTGCGGAGCCAAGAAATGATTCAGACAAGGGGGACACAACAAGGGACGCGCGGCCCCTTCCCACAGCAGGCGGCACCAGATGCTTCCAGCCATCTATCCAATACTTTTAAGGCTTCTTTGCAATAAGCACCGATTTACAGGAGCTTTCCTGCTGCGTGGTTTTAAAGTGGCGAAACTATCCCAATCCTTTTAAAGCTGGAAAAAAGAGAATTTTTTTGGAGCAGAGAGTGAGAATTTGGAATTTGGTCCTTGGATGGGTTTTCCCAGCCGGAATTGTAGTTTTTCCTTTTGTTGGGAAGGAAAGGGAGGCTGGCAATGCAACGACCCTCCGGGTGCAGCCCACGTGGAAAGGAGCCGGCGGATTCAGATCACTGAGCGCCCGTGCAGCAGCCAGGCCAGCCGTGCTGCGCCACCGCTGAGCGAGAAACCTCTCATCATATCAAGTCTGAAGTCCAGGGATTGACCCGAGCCTCAGACTTGACCCCACCACCCAGAAAGCCCCCGCCGCGGAGAATCGCCCAGTGAGGATGTTTCGGTGAGTGCAGAGTGATGGGAATCCAGGCAGGAATCCCGCAGCAATGTTGATTAGTGATTGCAATGTTCATTAGTGATTTTAAACACCTGCAGTACCAAACCAGTGCACCCTGAATCAGAAGCATGTGCCTGTTTTTCAAAGCTCCCTAAATCTCCCAGCCAACCAAGCCCAGGCTCCCAGTTGCCCTTTGCATGGGGCAGGCGGCAGAGCCGGTGCGGGACACTGGGAGCCTTGCTCAGATGTAGCAGCTCTGCATCCAGAGCACTTGCAGTGATGAGAAGATAGGGGAACCAGCTTTTGAAAGCAAGACCGTCTTAAGAATTATTAAAAAAAGGAAAAAAAAAAAAACAACCAAAAAAGCAGCAACATTTTCCCTGCGTGGACAAGAACGGAAAAAACAAGATGATTAAACGAAAGCAGGGAGTGCGAAGCCCCACTGAGATGGGTCATGGCAGGCAGAGGGGCAGGAGGCAGCAGCATCTCCCACCCTCCTTCCCGTGGGGCCGTGGGACCCCGGGCCGTGCGCCGCTGGGTCTCCCTGCTTGGGGGGTCCTACCAAAACACGCTCGCCCCGGCGCTGCGGTGGAAGAGCTGCCGCAGCCGCGCTCGGCACGGCCACGGAGGAGGCAGGGGAGCTGCTTCCCTCTCTCGGGGCTCTACGAAAGGTGTCCTTCAAGAGCTACCTCTGCACCAGGGAAAGCCAGGGGCATGTTCTCATTTCCACTGCTGCAGTTACGTTATTTTCCAGTTGCCGTTGAAAATGTTTCTATAACCACTGTCCAAATTAAAGCCAGAGCTCTCTTGGATCCGTTCCCTTCCAACATCCAGGTTTGTTTCTTTTGGGGCAGGTTTTTTTAGTAGGGCACCGTCGTTTCACATGAAAAATAGGCTTTGCTGTTCGAGCGGGGGCAGCGGGCACGTTGTGCCGAGACGTGATGCTCCAGCCCAGTTAAAAAACCAGAGCTCTGCCCCCCCGGCACGCACGCTGCACCCCTCGTCTCGGGCGGCGGCGGCGCCGGGGTCCGTGCAGGTTTCGTGAGCCTCGCTCCAGTTAGGGGGGTTACTCAGTGGGTGTAGCGGGGATGAGGGTTTAGTTATCGTTACCTAGGGGATTAAAGGGGCGGACTCAACATTCTCATTCCACAGCAACTGCCAAACCCAGCAGAGCCTGGTACAGCCCTGGTGCAGGTCGGTGTACCCCCATGATTTCACCCGGGCCGGCCGCTCCCCAAGGGAGGGCAGTCGGGAGCGCCCACCAGTACCCCAGCGCCCCCCGCTGCAGGGTGCCACGATTTACCACTGGTTACCATCAACACCCCCAACGTGTCCGAGAAAGGAGCCGCGGAGCGCACAACCTCTCCCCGTTTTTGTCAAATCCTGCTTTTCCCATTGAATTTTTCCCTTTTTTCTGCCCAAGGCATTCTTTTTTTTGGGCGGCCCTCCCAGCTCAGGCACCCCTCTGTACCAGGCTCTGCCGAGCAGCGCTCACAGACCACGTCCTCCCACAGCAGCAAAGGACAGAGCAGCAGCAGGGACTCACCACAGCTCCAACCGCGGTCTCAACCAGCGGAAAAAAAAAAAAAAAAAGATTAAAAAAAATTAAAAAAAAAAGAGGTGAGAGACAGCATCGCAAGGCAAACTGTACCTGATTGCCGAGGAAGAACTACGGAGGGAGAGGAGTTGTGGAGGGCGAGGGGATGGGGAGGGGAAGGAAAGTCGAGAGGAAGAGGAGGGGAAAGAAAAACAAGAAAAACATTTATGGGATTAACAGTGCAACAATAATGAAAACTGTTAACTGGGGGTAGTTAGAAATTGGTTGGGTTTATGCTATTTGGGTGTAAGGAAGAAGCTCGGGGAGCCCGGGGCCGGTGCGGCTGGGGGGGACGAGCGCTGCGGCTTGGCTCCTCCCGGCCGGAGCATCGGCCCTGAAGGCAGCGGGCAGGAGAGGGGGCAGCTCCGCCGCCAGCGCGGTTCACCAGTTCACCTCGGTGAAGGATTTGAAACATAAACAGCCGGGCTGTTACAAAGAGATTCTTTAAGGAAATTATTCTCCTTCTTCGGGAGCGAGCTAAGAAAAACACAGGCATAAGGTACACTCATCCACGAGGAAAACTTCAAGGGCGGCTGCCGGCAGAGTGAATGCGGCGTTTCACGGGGCCAGCGGGCCGGCTGCCCCAGAACAGGGCCACTTTTATGCTCTCCCGATTTGGGGAACGCCCTGGGGGCGAGGACGGCGCTGGGCAAACACAGCTCAGCCACCTCCGCCGGGAGCCGGAGTGCCGGAGGACGAGGTCTCCCTCTCGCCCTGGGGAGCCCGGGGGGTCCCCCCGCGCCAGGCTGGGCACCCCCCATCAGTTATCCCCCCCTGCAGGTGGGAAGGGGGAGCAGGATTTGTGCTGCCAGGGCAGCATTCGGCCCCCTCTGCCTTACCCGGTATTTGTTCTCGCCGATCTGCTCCACTTGAAATCTCTTGGCACACTTGCACTGGGCCACTTGCCTGGTGACCTGCCATCACCAACGAGAGAGGTAAGGGACCAGGATTTTGGGAGTCTCCCCCAATACAAGGCACTGCTCGGATAACACACAGCCCCAAGCCTTTCCTTCAAAAGGTTTCCTTTTTGAAGCCTTTCCTGCAAAAGCACAGTAGGTACCGGCGCCACCCACCAATTATTTTGGCTCAGCACCACCATAATCCTTTTTTTAAATCCTTTTTGTCTTCCCCACTGCCAACCTGCAGCCTGAAGCACCCCACACCCCCGAGCGCCCACCTCTTTCGGTGCTTTACCTCATCTTCGATCTTGTCGGCATCAGTGGTGGGGCGGTAGGCATCCTTGTTGGGATGGAGAGCAGCCACAAACTCATAGTAATCGATGTAGCCGTCGCCGTCACGGTCAAAGATATCGGCCACCGCGGTCATCTCCAGCTTCGTGGTGGGGAATTCTGGAAGGAGAGAGAAATGAGAATCATAGAATCACTTTGGTTGGAAAAGACCTTTAAGATCATCGAGTCCAACCTTTAACCTAACCCTGCCATCCCACCACTAAACCCTGTCCCTAAGCACCTCATCTATCCTTCTTTTAAATACCTCCAGGGGTGAGGACTCGACCACCTCCCTGGACAGCCCATTCCAGAGTCTGACAACCCTTTCGGTGAAGAAACTTTTCCTAATGTCTAACCTAAACCTGCCCTGGCACAACTTCAAACCATTCCCCCTCCTCTTGTTGTCTGTTACCAGGGAGAAGAGACCAAATACCAGGGAGAAGAGACCATGAGCAAGCAGGGACCTCACTCATCAGAGCTGGAGATGTCAGAGCACGGTCTGCATCTCGGTCCTTGAGCAAGGGACAACCTTGTCACACAAGGACATTTTCCAAGCAACTTTCAAGGCAGGCAGGGACTTACTAGAGGCCAGGATGCCATCGATAAACTCCTGCCGGGTGATCTTCCCATCCTGGTCTTTGTCAATGCGCCGGAAGAAGTCCATGACGCGGGATTTCTTGTGGTTCATCCAGCGCATATACTTCTTCCGCCAGACGTCGAAGTCAAAGTTTGCAAACTCCTTCAACTGGAAGGAAACCCACGAGTCAGCGGGGGAAATCCCCAAAGGAGCAGCACCCCTGGCTCTACCGCACCCCAAACCACCAGCCTTCAGGTGAGCCCGAGCTCCCGACGCCAACGCTCACCGCCCACCCTCCCGGGAAGGTTTGTCTGGCTTCATCCAGATGACCCCCGTCAACGAGGGGGCCGCTTGGATTGACTTTCCAGAACAGAAGGACACACAGCATAGCTGACAGCCACCACGTGGACCGCGCGTCACGGAACCATCGACATGGGATGCAGCGTCCCCCCCCCCGGTGGTATACGCACACATATGCAGAGATATCAGCTACTGACACATAGACACACGCCCCCCCCATCTCTGCTTGGGCATCTGGGGATGCTTCCTCACCTGGATTTTGCCTAACGGCTCGCCAGGCTCTGCCCGGGAGGAACACCCATTGCTGGCACCATTTGGGGCACATCCCCCCTCTCCCTTTCCCTCTAAAGCAGCCAAGAAGGGATTTCTTGCCCGTCTTCCAGGTAAGACAGCAGCTGGGGCACATCTCGGCTCTGCAAACCCTGGCCCCGCGGCTTGGCCACCAGCCGCAGACGAGCCACTCGCCCTCCGATTTAAACTTAACACCTTTTCTATCCCTCCCCGCTCGAAGGACTCCCACCACCCCACCAGCTACAGCAGCTCACAGCGAGGTTAATGCGACAATTTTCTTTTTTTTTTTTTTTCTTCCTCTAAACATTCTTGGAGTTAAAAGCAACAAAGAAAAAACATGAATACGGAGAAACTGAACTGACCTACAGCAAAAGCAACAAAAAACAAAAACCACTCACTTCTGGGCATAGCTGCTTTGTTAAGCATAAATAAAAACAAAAATGACATTAGATGTTTGGAAGAGATATAGACAGTAATTGTTAAGCTAATTACTAGGAGTAAAGCAGGCCTGGCTGTCATTACCTCCGCAGACACTGACTGCAGGGGCACAAAGCAGTTCATTAACGTGCAGTTAATTACAGAACGGTAGCTTTTCAGCCTTCGGATTTTAGGAGTTATTTTCCTCTTTTCCTTTTGGCATTTTCAGAAAGGCAGCAGTAACCGCCTGCAAGAGCTGGGCAATTCAAGAGGCAGCGCTAATTTAAAAATGCTTCTCGCACCTCTCCGGCGAGCAACCCCCGGGGAACCGCTCCCCCTGCCCCAAACCCAGGGCAGCCGGCGGCCGTTACCTCCTCCAGTCTGTCCAGGGCATCGTTGAGCTTCCGCTGCCGCTCCAGCGCCAGCAGCCAGACCTGCTGCCAGCGCGCCGAGAGCTGGTTTATCCGGGGGTTCTTCGTTTCCGACTGGGTGATAATGGGCATGCTGGGGGGAGCGGCCTGACTCAAGGACTTTCCTGGAAAAAGGGAGAAAAGGAAAAGTTTGAG